TTGTCTCTGATATATATATATATATATATATATATATATATATATATATATAGGAGCACCATTGTGTTGTTGCAGAACCATACTAAGACTCCAAATTAATTTATTCTTAGAAACACACTAAGCAATGGAGCCGCTTTGCGTCGAGAGAGATACCAAACGTCCCTTGGCCGATTTTCCGGCTAATATATGGGATGATCCACTCACTTCTTTCTCTGTTTCAAATTCGGTATTCCACTCATTTTTTTTTTAATAGAATTCGGTATTTCACTCATATTCTCGAACATATATTAACTTCGAAGTTTTGTCATAACATTAAATCTTATCAAAACACGAGTCTAACTCTAGTACATCCAAGAAATATGTGACTTGCTATTTATGTTTATCTGCCAACTTTTGGACAAGGTCGCACGTAAATGCGAAATTATATTACTTTAATTATTTGTTTATTGTCTTCTTTGAATAATATTTTTTTATATATATTTTATCTGTGAACAACTAAACATCACTCGTGCTATTGGTAGGGAAATGATGCGTACAAAGAGAAACATAGTGTGCTGAAGGGGCAAGTGAAGGAAATGCTTATGGTCTCGAAAGCTAATCCCATCGAGAACCTCAAGTTCATTGATGTGTTATGCCGTCTTGGAGAATTCTACCATTTTGAAAAAGAAATAGAAGACCAACTCGATACGATTTTCAGTATTCATGACCTAAATGATACGATAGGTGATGAAAAATATGATCTATCTACCGTTGGAATTGTTTTCCAAATTTTCAGGCAATTCGGCTACAAACTCTCTGCAGGTGAGATAACTTTTTACCAAAAAAAATCACTAAAGCAAAAAAAGTGCATGTGAAAGTAAATGCGTTCGAGGTTATAGATTTTATTTATTGGTCTTCCTCTTTCTGAGCTAACCAAAGTTCTATACGTTTTAAGATGTGTTTGAAAGGTTTAAATATGAAAATGGAAAGTTCAAGGAATACCTCGGAGCTGATGCAAAGGGTATGCTAAGTTTGTATGAAGCTGTACAGTGGAGCACCCATGGCGAAGGTATTCTAGATGAAGCTCTCATTTTCTCGAAATCTTGTTTGCAAGTGTTAGCTTCTGGATCCAGTCCCCATATCGAAGAACGTATCAAGAACGCTCTAAAACATCCGTATCCCAAGGGAATTTCGAGAATAGAGACGAGACAGTTCATCTCGTACTACCAAGACGAAGTACCACATGATGAAACATTGCTCGAATTTGCTAAGTTGGATTTCAACATACTACAACTGCTACACCGTGAAGAGCTTGCTCATGTCAACGGGTTAGTGTGTGTCTATATATACACACACACACCGATTTATAACTAAAAATGATTTTTTTTACACTTAGATTGTGCCCAAGGTAGATAATTGAAGTGTTGGAATATATGATACAAATGAAGACTAAGAAGATATTATCCACGTTGCAAATCAAGAGAATATGGAAGAAAATAATTCTTGACAAGATTGAAGACAATCAACAATATTATAGAAATAGCCGTTTTAGTGATATTTTATTTCCTTCTTTTGTGATTGCATTTTGATCTATTTTACATTATATAAATATTGTAAATTGTATACAAAATGATACACACGAACCAAGGGAGCTATTCCCTTTTCTTCTTTGTTTT